ACGCTGGCGTCGCCCTGGAAGGTCTGCTCGTAGCGCCAGTTGGGCATGCCGGGGTCCAGGCTGCGGATCTCATTGTCGTCGGCGATGTAGAGAATCTGTCGACTGCTGTTCATGCCTGGAAGGGAAGTAGAAAAAGTCAGAGCAAGTATTTTATTACTAATAAACACCTCTCTTAGCTCAGGATGTGTCCCAGCTGCCTTCAAACATGCCGTGGTGCAGCCACTACTTAAAAATAAAAATCTCGACCCCTCCATTCTCGCAAATTTTAGGCCCATCTCCCAGCTACCTTTTTTATCTAAAGTCCTGGAGCGAGTAGTCTATGCCCAGCTGCAGTCTTTTTTAACCGTGCATGGCATCCATGAAAAGCTTCAGTCTAGCTTCAAACCTATGCACAGCTGCCTTCGACACTGTGGACCATAGCATCCTGTTGTCGCGGCTCGAGCAGTCTGCTGGCATCACAGGCTCTGCCCTTGCATGGTTCAGGTCCTACCTGACAGACCGTAGCTTGTCAGTGCAGCTAGGTGCCTTCTCCTCTGCAAAAGCCCCTCTTACCTGTGGGGTTCCCCAAGGCTCTATTCTGGGCCCCATCCTTTTTCTACTGTACATACTGCCCCTAGGTTCAATTCTCACAAAACACAACATCCCCTTCCACTGCTACGCCGACGATGTACAGAGCTATCTGCCTCTCAATTCAAATGTCAACTCATTACAGCTATTGATGGACTGCTTGACAGAGATCAAATTCTGGCTGAGCCAAAATGTCCTCAACCTCAACGAGAGCAAGACCGAGGTCATCTTTTTTGGACCCCAACCTCTAGCCTCTCCGGTTTATATTCTGGGCTCCCTCAATAAAAACATCCTCCCCTCTGTCATGAACCTTGGAGTGACCTTCAATAGCGCTTTTAAATTTGATAAGCAGGACAGCACTGTAGTCAAAACCTCCTTTCTTTTTAAAAATACGACTATTGGCCAAGACCAAGTCATTTTTATCTTTTAAAATACCTAGAAAGGCTTATTAACGCCTTTGTAACTACGAGGCTGGATTATTGCAACGCTCTATACGTGGGTATGGACCAGGCGTCAATTAGACGCCTGTAGCTAGTGCAGAACGCAGCTGCGCATCTACTCACAAAAAGCGTCACCACATCACCCCAATTCTGGCCTCATTGCACTGACTTCCAATTAGGTTCCGAATTGATTTTAAACTCCTTTTATTTGTTTTCAAAGCCCTAAATGGGCTGGCTCCGGCCTAGCTGAACTCCTCCAGCGCTAGACCCCAGCCAGAGCTTTAAGGTCTGCTGACCAGCTGCTGCTGATAGTGCCCAAGACCAGGCTCAAAACCCGAGGTCACCCAGCCTTCGCAGTAGCTGGCCCTAGGCTCTGGAACACTCTGCCCCTCCAATTTGAGGTCGGCCCAGACCCTGGGTTTTTTAAATATACACTAAAGACTCACTTCTTCTCCCTGGCCTTCTAGTCAGACAGGAGCACGACTCCTGACATTTCTCTGTGTTTGATTTTTATATTTGCTGTTGTAATGTATTGTCTTCTGTTTGCTATTGCAGTAAAGTGTTTTTTATTGTACAGCATTTGGCTTATTTGGCATATCCGCTTTGGCTCGACCAACATTTTTTTTTAAATGTGCTATATAAATAAAACTTGATTTGATTTTATATAGATGGCTGTTGAAACTAAAATGAACTATTATTAGGGTTTTAAAATAAAAAAGGAAAAGCATTGTATAAAACAGCTCTGGTCCTCACTGTCAGCTTTGCAGGTGTCATTGATTCTGGTGAAGTACTTGTGGCAGCTGCATTTGTAGGAGCCTTTGGTGTTGTTGCAGACGTGGGAACACACTCCGAACTGCAGACACTCATTCTTGTCTGAAAAATGGAGAGCCAAAAGAAAAGTCAGAGATTAAATAGAACAAAAAATCAAAGCCCAGCTTGTCGCCTCCAAAGCATTGAAGTGTCTTTTTAGGGAATATATACCTCCACAGGTGTGGTGTCCCGTCTTCTGGAAGCCTGGTTTGCAGGAGCAGAAGGCGTCCGTGCCGTTGGTGACACAGTGGGCCTCGTCTCCATCTCCACACTGAGTTCTGTTACTCCTGCAGTCATTCAGTTTGGTGTCTGAACACAAAAAAGTCAAACATTAGTTGGAAAACAATTTTTTAAACAACTAATACTGCTGATACTTAACATTTCAAACCTCACATCTGTGTTGAGCTGTACGATATGATAATACTTTAATGGTCAGATCAAGTCTGAAATTTGACTTGCATCACAGCAAGTAACATCACTATCACTGAGAGAAAACGTGTTCACCCTTTCGTGTGCATTTGATCTGGGATTTAGCTCTGTATTTACTGTGAGGATTGACTGATGCACAAAGGAGTGCTTCATTCTGACTTTATTGAAACGGCGGAGACTCTGAAAGTCTCCCTTAGATGGAGCAGTCAATTCACTGTTCAGAACATGGTTTGGGTCAGAGATGATGTTGTTGGACAGCCTCACTAGGTTGTTATGATAGGCTGAGTCATAAAGTCTCTGACAGGGTTGACCAACAATCTTTGAGCAGATTTTTAACAGGTGGAGCAGTTTTGATTTTAAAGCTGCTGATAAACATTTGTACCAGGTAGTATTGCAGTACTGCAGAATAGACAAGATGCTTCACGCTTTGAATTTTCACCGATATCTGA